ATTTGCTATTTTACAAGCGATCCAGACCGGTAGTATCATGTGAAAAGCTCCTCACTCTCACATATCTTGGCAGCTAATAATCTTATTGAAGCCAAGTCAGATATCCAGAACCGTTAACTAACTAAGACAAGATAAGTGATGTCTTCTTTCCAATATGTTAACAAAATAAGGCTGTCTTTAGTGAATGAAATGGAGATGACAGCTGTCACATTAAGGGAAAACAGAACGAAAGTAGAAACAGCTATAGACAACTCTACAAACTACGGTGCTGTTAAATCACTCAAGCGGTTAACAGGTTTAATACATATCACAAGACTGCCTTCCTTCGCACAGCTCCACAACTGGAGATAAAACAATAGATTCTTTTATTCTCGTATTCACACTGAGCCAAACATGAAGTCAGTCATAAACAACCAGGGGTCCTGACAAACATCTTAATCTGAGAATTGTCTGAGAATTTATGTTAACTAATATTAAGTGCAGTCTGAATATTCATTTCAAATGTATATATTTGAAAAGAACATAAAGCTTAACATGTCTTGTAGTTTTAAAGCTCTGATTTTTAGACAGACAGATGGAAGAACATTTTCGGGATTTGAGAAGAGTGTCAAGTCGAGCCAGTTTCTCAGAATCTCGACAAAATCGAGTGATGATGACTATAACTGCTACGCGTACACAAGCTTTTCTCATCACAATTCTCATTAATTAACATACGAATGTGCACAAACACAAATATGCACCTTAGAATATGTAATATGTACCTTAAAGGTGCTAAAGAAACAGAGATGTCCCTTTAAGGGTAATGCTCCAATGACAAGTTGCTTTACCCCTGAAGGTACAACATTTATTCTGAGAGAAGTAATCACACCCCACTGTACCTAGTGATATATTATCCTCACATAAAAAGTGTTTTAATTTGCACATTTGAATTGGGTTCAATGTTTACATTTTATTATGTTTATGCATTGTAAGGAATATACTGAAATATCAGTATTAACACTGTGTTTTATAGTTATTTGTGCCCGATGAAATTATTAAAGCATTATATTTTATGTATTAAGATAAAGGCATTATTCTTTCATTGAATAAAAGTATGAAACATCTCACTGATGTGTCTTTATATGCTTTAAAGCCTATAGGGAAGCTGTCATCATCTCCTCCCTCAGATTCTGGCCAGCAGGACGGGCGCAACTACTTTTCCCAGCATCTTCTCATCACTCAATCGTTCATTTCAAAAAAGGCAGAAGTTTGATTTCAAAAATCCAAATTAAAGCACCTTGCATGAACCCTGACCTAAGTATAAGCATTAGTAAAAGTTAGGGTTGCATTGCACTCTACTGATTTCCCACCACTTTCTAGTGTTCAGTCTAACCCACTTACAAAATGCCAATAGACAGTAACAAAAAGGCTTTCAACAGACACAATAATGCTTTAGACAACTAGTGGCAATCTAAAAAAAAAAAAAGGTTTTTTAGAATTGTAACAACATGCCATCTGGATGCTCAGCTTTATACTACAATACACAAACCCCATCAGTCTTTTTGCGACAATATTTCTAGTTAAACTGCATGGAGAGGTGATGGTTAATGACAGCTTACCCGACTACGATCCTCTTCTGCTCCCTTTCCAGGCTCAAAGTCAAAAATACTCTTGGGTTCTGGGTGCTTCCCTGTGTCGCCCAGATCAGCCCTGTAACACACACACAGAGGCCACTTTACTACGCAATCATTGTTGGTTCTTGCAGAAACAGATCCTAACCTGCCCAGTGTCTGTGTAACTCCTCTCTCTCTCTCTCTCTCACACACTGGTTCTGTCTCTCTCTCTGTCTCTGTCTCTCTCTCTCTCTCTCTCACACTGTCTCTGTCTGTCTCTCTCTCTCTCTCTCTCTCTCTCACTGTCTCTGTCTCTCTCTCTCTCTCTCACACACACTGCTTCTGTCTCTCTCTCTGTCTCTGTCTCTCTGTCTCTCTCTCTCTCTCTCTCTCTCACACACTGCTTCTCTGTCTCTGTCTCTCTCTCTCTCTCACACACTGCTTCTGTCTCTCTCTCTGTCTCTGTCTCTCTCTCACACACTGTCTCTGTCTCTCTCTCTCTCTCTCTCTCTCAC